GGGAGGGGGAGAGGGGGGAGGACAAGCTAGGTGCGCTCGCGCCTCGTCTGACATCCAGTCTCTCCCTCCCATCCCTTCCCATGGCGCTGATTTTTCTCTATCAGCGGACGCGTGTCACAGCCGACCTGCGACGCAAACAGAAAGACCATTTCGTGCTATGCGCAATGAGCTGCGTGCACAGGAGGGGCAGGTGGTGGGTGAGCAGGAGGATGAGCGGAAAGAAGAGGCTGAGGACGAACAACAGCAGCAGGACCTAAATCGGACGGATCGGGAGAACAAGGACGACCAGGGGAAGGCGGAGAAGGGGATTTGAAGAGGGCGACAACGATGAAGAAAAACTCGGGTTCAAAAAAGTTGCCCGCGCTGGGACGAGACGAATAGCAGCAACAGGAACTGGAGTGGAAAGACCAGGAGGAACAGGAGGAACAGGAGGAGGGGACATGAGGGGGGGACCACAATGAAGCAAGACTCGGATCCAGGAAAGTGGCCTGCGCTGGGGCTAGAGCGCCACTCTGACCGACGGAAGCAAGGCGCCGATCCGAAAATGAGGCCCACGCTGCAGCGGGAGCACCATCTAAAAATACTGAAAACAATCGAAATGTGAAAACAATAAGGAAAATCAATGCTCGAAATCCTGTGTCCAAACAAACCACGGAGGGGGCAGGGGACATCGATTGCACACAACGCATGTAGCACAACAGAGCTTGCCCCTTGCATACTTCACTGCATCGATTGCAAGGCACAGATTCCACAACAAACATTGCCAGAAACTAGACACACACACACACTGCTTGGGGCCCACGCTGGCTAAGACTCGAGCGAACCCCGCCCGCGGACGCGAGGCGGGATCCCCAGGCATAACTGGACCCCCCTCTGAGGCCTGCCGGCCCCTGCGTGCGGCCGCCAGTCGCCGAGAGACGCGAGGCGCGACCCCTTCCGGAGCACCCGGGGCCCCCTGGGGGCCGGGCGACCGCGGCAGGCAGGGGATGGGCGAGGCGGGTCGGAAGCTGTTGTCTGGAGGTGCGCCCAGGAAGAAGTGAGGGTGGGGAGGAGGAGGAGGAGGAGGAGGAGGAGGAGGAGGAGGAGGAGGAGGAGGAGGAGGAGGAGGAGGAGGAGGAGGAGGAGGAGGAGGAGGAGGAGGAGGAGGAGGGGGAGGAGGAGGAGGAGGAGCAGGAGGAGGAGGAGGAGGAGGAGGAGAGGAGGAGGAGGAGGAGGAGAGGAGGAGGGGGAGGAGGAGGCGGAGGAGGAGGAGGAGGAGGAGGAGGAAGGACGGAGGAGGAGGGGAGGAGGAGGAGGAGGAGGAGGAGGAGGAGGAGGAGGAGGAGGAGGAGGAGGAGGAGGGGTGGAGGGAGGCCTGCCCGGAAGGTGGCGGGGCTTCTCGAAAGCCCTCTGGCCTTCTCAGGAGGCCCCTGCGGCTTCGGAGGAGGCTCCGAAAGCTTCTCCGAAGGCCTGAGGCCCCAGGGGACTCCAAAGAGCGGAGAATTTGCTCCCAGGCCACTCAGGCCGGCCCCCTCCGCCTTCTGCCGCCGGCGCGGCGCAGATGCCTCAAAGAGCTGACAACCGAGGCCTGCTGGGTGGGGAACGCTTTTGGACCACCTCGGGGCTGCCGTGGGCTCAAGCAGGGCAGTGTTGCGCGTCCCTCCGGTGGTCTTCTTTTTCCCAGCAGGGCCTAGGTCACTCGAGCGACGGCCGCGCGCGAAAGGACAGGATTTGAGCAAGCGCCGGAACAGCTCCATCCAAGGCGATGGCTGACGCAAGAAACGAAGACACAGGTTCAGATACAGTAGGAGCTAGACCAAAAGGAACTTTCCACAAGAAACCCAGTCCTGAGACCCCAGGACGTCCACTGATTTTTGGTGTGGGAACGTCACGCTTGCCACAGCAAAGCCATCGAAACCCAAGAAACCCAGGGCACCCTGGAGGCAGGCAGGGTGTTTCTTGGCACGAGCTTCCACTGCATGTATCAACGTTGCGGCCAGAGCACCACGTGAGCAGACGCGCGTCCGCTGGGGCCGTCTCGCGGCCCTCCTCGGCCGTCTTGGGGGCAGATTTGCGCGAGGCGGGGATATATCCATACTCCGAGTCTCTTAATACGCGTGGGGGGGGGGGGCGTCACCCCCGCCGAAAGCCCCACATCGAACCCCGTCGCGGGCAGCCGCCGCGCGCAGAAGGCGCTCCGACCCCCGTCGCGGCGCGACGGCGAGGCGAGGTTGACCCCCGTCGGGGGGGGGTACCCCCCCACGCCCGAAGAAACCCAGAGCATCCGCCTGCGGACACGACGCTGTGGGACCCCGGCGGGCAGTGGATCTGGACATCTCTGGGCAGCGCTGGCAACAAACGCTGTTTAAGTTTTGAACGCGTTTAAAACAAAAACAAAAACAAAAACAGAACACGCCGACGCAATCCGTTCACCGTTTAGTTTTAAGACAACAAAAACCAAAACGACGCGGTTGCCGTCCGGGCCCAGAGTCTCTGAGCCCCCTCGGGAGCCCAGAGACTCTGGGCCCCCGAGGGGGGCCCTCGAAAAGTGTCCACGCCCACCGCCTGCCCCGAGGTCTCCCAGGCTCGATCCTCGAGGCGGCAGTCACGTCTGGATCTAGGTCGGGCACGTCCTCTGCAGACGAGTGTTCAAAAGTAGTCAAAGAGTAGTCTGGGGACGAGGTGTTGATCATTATTTGGCTAGGTTTGAAAATGTGTTGCATCTGTTCTATGTTTCGCCCAAAATCCGCCTGCAGGCGGACATGCCCGACCTGAAGTCTCAAGTTCTGTTGCTCCCATCGAACTTTTAAGGACCAAATCCCAAAACAAATTCGAGCACCCAGAAAAGTATCGAAACAGTGTCGACCGAGTGTCCACTTCAGTCCCCCGTCCGACTCGTGAAACCCCTTCCACTTCCTGTACTTGATTGGTGCTAGAAATGATTTCTGGTGCTTCAGGCTCAACTAGGCTGGGACATTCTAAGTCTAAGGCCCCGCCTCGGAACCCCAGGCCGCCCTGTGGCCCCCTCTCGGGCCGGGCGAAAAGGGGGGGATAGCAAAGGGGGGGTTTTGATGATCAGCTCGCGTGGCTGATTTTCCCAGCGCCTCCCGGCGCCCGGAGGCGCCCATGTATCGAGGAATGGGCACGGCGGCGGAGCCTTTCGCTCGGCCCGACGCTCGCCAGCCTGCCCTGAGCCGACCCCGCGGCGCGCCTCCCCACACGGCGGCCCTCGCCAGCCCTCGGCGGCCCGCAGACGACCCCGCAGACGAGCCCGCAGCGGGGGGCGGAAACGTCAGGTCGGGCAGACCCTCCTTCAGGCGGATTTTGGACGAAAAAGACAACGTCCAAAAATAATTCAAAAACGCTCGAAAAATAATCAAAAAATCGTCCACTGACCATTTTTGTACTATTTTTGATACTCCTCCTGTACAGGGAAGCGCCCGACTTAAGGGAAGCGCCGTCCAGTCGGCCGCCGCTCCGCTAGCCAGCGCGGGGTGCAGCGCCGCCGCACATCCTGCGCGGGGGGCGCGGCAGTGGAAGCCTCCCAGGGCGGGGTCCGAGTGCGCAGGTGGGGTCGGACGGCCGCGCCGCATCGCCGACGCAGCCCCGAGGAACAGCCGATGCGTGGGCGCGGCGCCGTCGGCGCGGAGATACCAGGGCTCCACAGCGAGCCACGTCGGCGCTGCGGCGCGATCCTCCGGCCCCGTCTGCACGGACCCCCTCTGAGAGCCCCTGGCCATCGCTCGGAGGTCCCTTCCCTGTGCTTTTTTCGGTTTCGCGCGTGGCTTTTTCGCCAAATGATCAAGGACCCAGACATCCGACGTCTCGATTTTTTCGAGACACGGGCCCCCGACCTCCCGACCACTCCCGGGACCGGTTGTTCACCCCGAGCCGTTTTTTGACGGTCCTGAGGCCCGGCGAGGGCCCCGAGAGGCCGCAAACGCCGAAAAGCCTCCGCCTCGATTCTTTCGAGACGCCCGATGTCTGGGGATGCCCCTCCACGGTCCTCGCCGAGGGGAAAAAACATGCACACGCCCGAGCGGTGCCGAGGCCCTCGAGGCCCCTCGAGGCAGGCGAGGGGCGGGGCCGGGGCCGGAGCGGGCCGGCAGGGGCACGCGAAGCGCCCGGGGCCGCCGGGGAGGCGTCGCGCTCCCAGGAGGTGCGGCGGTCCAGGAGGGCGGGGGCGGGGCGAGGCGGGAGGGGAGGACGGGGGAGGGCATGGCAAGGGGGGCGAGGAGGATTAAAGAGTCGGGCGTGTGCCCTTGCAGGGGGATTCTTTGGAAGGAGATGAGAAAAATACTGGGGAAATAATTGCCCCAAAGATGCCCAGAAATACCCCAAAAAAAATGTCCCTAGACTATTTTTTCCCCATTTTTGCATATTCCCCATGTAGAGGGACAGGCCCGACTAAAGCGGAGGGGGGGAGGAGAGGACCAGGGAGGGGATGGCAAGGGGGGCGAGGAGGACGAGGGTGCCGAGGAGGGAGGCCGAGGGCGGGAGAAAGGGAAGGATCACACGGCGACGACGGCGCCGACGACGACGACAATAACGACGACGACGACGACGACGACGACGACGACGACGACGACGACGACAACGACGACGATGACGACAAAGACGACGACGATGATGATGATGATGACGACGACGACGACGACGACGACGACGACGACGACGACGACGACGACAAAGACGGCGACGACCACGACGACGACGAACGACGACGACGACGACGACGACGAACGACGACGACGACGACGACGACGACGACGACGACGACGACGACGACGACGAACGACGACGACGACGACGACGACGACGACGACGACGACGACGACGACGACGACGACGACGACGGTGGCGCCCCGAACGACGACGACGGTGGCGGCCGTGGCGGCGACGGCGGCGGCAGCGGCGAGGCCTCTCGGCACGGCGCCGGCGGCCACCGCCGCCCACGCGGCGCAGGCAGCCGAGCGGCGCCCCCGGGCGCCGCCGAGCGCCGCTGGGAGTCCGCCACCGCACTCGCGGCGGCTGCGGCGTCAGTCCCAGCGGCGACGGCGGCGACGGCGACGACGGCGACGACGACGACGGAGACGACGACGACGGCGGCGACGACGACGACGAGGACGACGACGACGACGACGACGACGACGACGACGACGACGACGACGACAGCGGCGACGACGACGACGACGGAGGCGTTGATGACGGCGCCGTTGACGGCGATTTTCGGCGATGGCGGCAGCGGCAACGGCGACGGCTTCGACGACGGCGGCAGCGGCGACGGCGACGGCGGCGACGGCGACGGCGGCAGCGACGGCGACGGTGACGAGGACCACGTCGCCGCCGCACACGCGAGGCAGGCCGCTGGCGGGCGCCCCCCTCTTCGTTAATGCAAGCTTCGCGCGGCCCGCTTAGCTTCGACCGGAAGAGGTGCGCTCTCGACCCGCGGATCAAAAAAGTGTGTTCTGTCCCCTCCTGAACTCCGGCGGCCATGCGGGTCCGCCCACCCCCCCCCGAAAGGAAAGCTGGGGCCGCCCCTCTGGCCACGGCCACCCCCGCCAGCGCCCCAGGGGCGCGGCGGGGCCAGCGCAAGCGCCAGCCCCCGCGCCGCCCGACCATCGCTCGGACCTCCACCCTCCGGCCGTTACTGCCTTCCCCCCCGCCTCCCTCGTGCTCCAGTTGTGTTCCTCCTTCCGGGTGCTGCCACCATCCCTCGATTCCAGCGTTGTTCCCTCCCTCCCCGCGCCGTCGCTCCACCCCCTCGTGCCACCGTGTTCTCGTGGTTCTAGTGGTGTTCCCTGTCTCCTCGTGCTCCCTCCCTCCCGGCCCGCCTCAGTGCGAGGCGGGGACTCATCCAGATCCGCCGCCTGGGAACCGACGTCCTGGTGCCCCAGCGGGCGGTGGAGTTGGATGTACGTCGGCCCCCGGGGGCCCGAATGGGTCCACATCCACCGCCTGCCGAGGCTCCAGAACTGACCCTCCAGGCGGTGGTCACGTATAGATTCCCGCCCCGGACTCGAGGTCCTCAGGTTCGCCCTCCAGCCCCATGGGAGAGCGCCGAGAGCTCCAGGGCCCGCGGAGCTACCGTGGCAAGGGGCCCCAACTCCCCCGCGGCGCGGGGCCGGGCCACCTCCTGGCATGCTGTGCGCCGCAGGAGGAAGGAAGCCCAAGGCAGTCGGGATAGCGGAGAAGGAGGCTCTGCGGAACGGACGCGAAGAGTCGCGCTGGGCTCCCAGTGGGGCCCGATTCGTACGCGGGGTACATGTGCCGACATGGGTGGTGGTCCGCATGCGAATGCGTAACTGCGGCCGTAGCTGGAGCCCCCTATGTGGCATGCTCTGCGTGGGGAGCGTGCTCTGGGGCCGCACGTCAGGGTCCCTGACAGGCACGATCCGTTCGAAAGGTGTGCCAAGACGGATGGAGACCCACATGCGAGCGTCATCGTGCAGCTGGATCTGCCCACGGACCACGATCCGTGCGGAGTGCGCCGAAAGAGGCTGGGGGCGCATACAAAGGCACTCGCTGGAACCGCAGCCAGAGCCGCCTGTGGGACACGATCCGTGCAAAGGGTGCGCCGAAATGGGGAGGCACACGCGAGAGCCCTGGCTGAAGCAGCAGCTGGAGCTCCCTGTGGGGCACGGGCGGGGATGCAGCAGCAACAACAGAGAAGCAGAGGGCGACATGGCGCGTGGAACACCGAGACCCAACAGCACACGAAGAGGGACGGGAACAATCCGCGGAAGCTCTGTTAGTTCGGCGTCCTCCGAAGCCGTAGCTGCGGCCCCCAGCGCGCTAAACCCAAGGAGGATTTACCTCCTCGGAACATGTCCCTACTCTGTCGCCCTCCATGGAGAAGACCCAACCAGCTTTTCAGGGTGTAGGTGGTTTAGGCCGCTACCTCTTCAAAGTCCCTTCCTCCCTCCTTCCCCCTGGGTCTGGACGAGGAGCCGGGGCGGCGGGTAGCTAGAGGGTTCAAGAATGCATCAGCGAGAAGACAAACACAATTGATGTCCGACAAGTGTTGGCCCCCTTCGGCCTCATGGAGGGGGCGAGGGCCTCAAGACTGCTCTCGCGCCCTCTGCACGAAAAAATGCCACAACGTCCCAGAGTCAGAATCCCAAGGTTCAGGCCCTCCATGCCACCGCCCCACCCCAGGTGAGTATCGTGTAACCGATCCCCATCCCCAGCGGGGTGGCCTGGGCCCCAGTGGCCGATTTACCCCCCTAGATGGGGATATAGGTCGTTCCCTTCGGGTTTCGAGGGGTGTATCCCCGACTGGGGTGGTCAATTGGTGGGGGTCTCGAAGGAGACGGGGATGGGGATGGGGATCGGTTAAACGATACCGACCAGGGCCGCCCCCGCCCACAGGCCACTCGGGGACGCAGTGGCCGTGGCCAGCGCACAAACCTGGGTCAGGCAGGACCGCGTCTCGAACCCTGGCCGGCCACGAGTCAGCTCCCGGACCCGGGCCCGCGGAGGGCGGGGGAGCGGGCTCGGCTCCAGGTGGCTCCCAAGCCCGGGTCAGCCAGAGGACCCTCGGAGGGGACTGGCTGACCCCCGGTTGGTCTGCTCACGGCATCGTTTTCGCTTCGCTTTTGTCCGGTCTCCCGACGGTCTGAGTTCTTACCTCGCTGGTTCCTGCATGGGCTGCGCTTCCACCTCGCTTGAGATCGCCCGTTGCCCCGGTAGTCACTGAACGGTGTGCATCTCCATTTCGCTGTAGCTCGCCCGTGGCCCCTTTGGTCCCTGCACGTGGCCCGAGTGGTCTCTCAACGGGGCGCTGACCCCCGCCATGTGGGCCCCGACTCCCTCGCCGCGGCGCCCCCTGGGCCCCTCTCCCGCCCCGCGGGGCCCTCCCGCGCCCCCCACCCATAGCGCCCTCCCCCGTCCAGCACACGCTGGCATGGATCTGTGTGCACCCTGGGGTCAGAATTGCCGGATGGGGCACGAAGGAGGGCGCGGCAGAGAGGGAAAACAGCGTGATGGGAGAGCAAGCCGATTGGCTTGGCAAATTGCTCCCCGCGATGACGATACGTGTCAGTGCTCAGGTGAGCCGTTCCCCGCGGTGGCCGTCAAGATCGCCTTGCGCCGGCGACTTGTCAGCCCCCACCCCGTTCTCGATGCGAAAGAGAGGACGTCTCTCTGACCCGCAAGCGCACACTGAACATGGATTACTGGTCCGTAGATCTGGCGCACGGACGACAGATCCACGGATCGGGGAAATCGCCCCCGAGGTATGAGAGCAATGCCGGCCGAATTGGTGACGGAGCGCGTCGATCTTGCATGGAAGCGTGGCCAGTCACTGATCCACGCGCCTTAATCCATGCTCGCGTTTCCTCGACCCCGGACGCCCCCTGGGCCCCGCACCCATACCCCGTGCGTCCCCCCCTCGATGGCGGCGGAGGGCTCGCGCGGCGGCGCAACGGCATACCATATTTTGTCTAAGGTTTGAGCCACGATATGGACTGCGGGCGCAGCGGCTCGTCGTCCATCGTCGTTCCTCCTCCTCCTCCTCCTCCTCCTCCTCCTCCTGCTCCTCCTCCTCCTCCCCTCCTCCTCCTCCTCCTCCTCCTCCTCCTCCTCCTCCTCCTCCTCCTCCTCCAGGATCCTCCTCCTCCCCTCCTCCTCCTCCTCCTCCTCCTCCTGCTCCTTCTCCTCCTCCTTTTCCTCCTCCACCTGCTCCTCCTCCTCCTAGTCGCCGTCGGCACTCGAGACCAGAGAACCGACCATGAAGGAAGTGTACCGCACATACCTTCACAAGATTTCAGCCCTACTGCTCGCATATGCCAGGGAAGGAGCATGGGGCGAGACAATGTGGCAGTAGGAAATTCATTCGCTTTCTTTCCCGCAACGGAGATTGTTTTCTACAACCTTCTGGCCGCCTAATCGAAGGGGAGGCCGGAAGAGATCAGCCAAGACCCGCGAGAAGGACGTGGTGGTACTGACAGGTACACACTAATGGGTTTGACCAGAACCAACACAGACGACGTATAACCTGGAGGGGAGGTAGGGAAATTGACATCTAAAGCATGTGGTAACACATTGCTGGTCGCGCGATACTTAGACACGAAAGTGCTCAGGTACATCTACGCTAGAACCACGTGCGCGCTTTGCGCGCGCTTAGGTTCAAGCACGCCGCATCCCTCATCATCATCACAACTGCACATGTGCACGAATGTAAGTTGCGACGGCAATGACAAAGACACCCTCAGTGGACCAGGGAGGGCAGCTTCACCACAAGCCCGTCCCTCTTGCCTCGTCCTCCTGTTCCTCACTGTCCCTCCTTACTCCTCCACCATCTGCGTCCCTCGTTGCTTCGGCCAATATCAAAGCCCATCCATCACCTTCCCTACGTTCCGCTTCTTCGTCCTCCTTCTCCCATCCTCCCTCCTCCCTCTTCCGCGCATCCTCGCCCATCCTCCCCCTGCCCTTCTCTATTCGACTCCTGCCTCCCCCTCATCCCTTAGTTATGCCTGTAGACTCGGACTACTGGACGTTTCCGCGGCTCTCTCAGGGCTCATGAACGGGGCGCTCACGCGCCTCTTTTGGCCTCTCGTTGGGGTTGTCTGTGGGGCTCCTGGGGCCGCCTTTGACGCGTCTTGGGACTGTATCGGATCCAGCTGGAACTCTCTTTGAAGAAGTGGTGGGGAATCCGACGTAAACGAGTACCATCGGCATCATTGAAAATTGCTATGAAAGGCCTTCGACGTCAGCTTGGAGAGAATGGCGGGGGGGAGGGCGATTCGGAGGACACAGAACGTGCTTGAACAAGAAAGGAAAAGTGCGAAATCCCTGTATTGCTTCAAGTGCAGCTCGAGACAACCAGCTCCAGAGCACACATCACACTCGATGTAGAAACAACACTTTGGGAATTATGTTGGGCCATCTTGGGCCGTCGGGGGGCCTGCTGGGGGCTTTTCAGGGACTCTTCCGGCCTCTTCGGCCATGTTTGGTCCAGCTCAGGGCCCCCTTGCTCCACCTGACTCCTGCGGAAGCTGTCGTGCTGTTTTGGAGCGCT